GCCGGTGGATGAAATTTTCATTCAATGTGCTCGTAAATGTATAAGTCTATCGCACTCCCCACAATCCCATGTCAAAATTCTCGATTCAGCATTAATTGAAGTTAAGCCTAAGTTCATTAAATCTGGTAAGCATTTAATACAGTCGATAGTAAGTGTCTCAAGCCGAGAAGATCCGTTTAACAATAGAGGAAGGTAGCAATTCCATTCCCAATTTTTGTCAGAACGTCTATTTTTATATAAATTGTACTTTCTCTCACCAATCGTGCTATTAGAAGCCAAATATCTCTCATCCCAATTCGGTTTTTGATGATCATTTTTACTTTCAATAAATCTAAAGGTAACACCTGTTACATACTTAACGCACTCTTTGTAAATCTAGCCAATAATCCGACATTTGATTGATCTAATTCATTAGTGGGGTAAATAAACTGATATTTCACACCATATTTTGGGAGTATGCTGAAGATATATTGTGATTGCACCTTTAAATGAGGACTGATATGTGCTTGCATGCATCTTGCAGAGTTCTATTTTTGCTTAATTCCTAGCTGCGCTATCCGGTTGGCTTGTTAGAATTTGTTTATTTTAATATCACAGACTCACTCCTTGGTGGCATCATTACATTTAATTACAGAAAGCTGTTGCACTCAATAATTCGTAACGAGATTTAGGAGTTAAAGTAGTAATTTTGTCTATTTATATAATTCGGACAAAAGAGTGCACTCGAGACAACTCTTGGAGAGAGCGGCAGTAATGAAGGAGAATATAATCAAGAAGTGGCACTGAAGACGAATAGGAGAAGTGTGACAACTTTTCTATTGGAGATGGGAAACAATTGCAAAATGTCTTCCAACCTAAAATCAAGCATTCAAATATGGAAGTACCAATTGCAAATTTCTACCTTAATTTAAAGTTACATACATATTTCAATGGAGGTTTATGTTGATTATTAATGTGAATGCTCCAAGTCCATATATATGCACTGATTTAGACAGATTGGTCACGAACGAATGCTAAAGCACAAGCTTAAACTCTGGTTTCGTCTGCAAAAAGGACAATACAATCAGGAAATCTTGAGTATATTGAGACGACCGAGCACTTCTCAATCAACTAGTTCACTCCAGCATCTCTCAATGTTTTGAAGAAGATGATCATTGAAAATAAAACCGGGCTGCTGTGTTGGGATCAAATTTTGATAGGAAATCTAAATGGCGAGTTCATTGGATTAATAACAAAATTCATGGGGAGGGGGCAGATAAATGGTGGGTTCAAGCCTTTTTCTAAAGACACCGCTACACCTATTGTTAAATAAGGGACTATACCAGTTTCAAATTTATTTGTTGCAATATATGTATATCAAACTCAAATACTTCTAATTCCTACCTTTCTTTCTTTCTCTATTAGTACACACGAACCATAAAAATAGGACACCGTCACTGGTCGGTTGTGAGAAATTCTAATAATTAATGTAGATTGGTTCAGTACTTTAGTGTCTGAGGTTTGGAGCCGCCTTTATCATATCTGTCTACCCCACCGAAAAAAATTGTTTTTTTTAATGTGAGAATGGAATGAGCTGTTTGAGTTCCATTACATGGTTACAGTCGGACCTCTGTTGATCCAAATGCCATTGGCAACCAAACAAATTCTTGAAGGTGGTTTGCGTCATTAGTGAGAGCAGTTGAGAGGAAATGAGCGTAGTAAATGTGAATGGGCATTTTATTCGTATGAAATGGCGAAGAATCATTTTAATCGAAATTCGTCCAGACTTGTAATAAAAAGGAAAGGGAAGTGCAGGTATAATTTAATCTACATTACCTTTTAATACAGTCGCGAAGCAAATTCATGAATAGAAAGAGCAAGGGGCCTTTTAACCAAGCGAAGTCAATAATGTGGTCTGGTAGTATGCGACATGTGAGTGGAGTCAAAAAGGTGGTAATTAATTGGAGGATGGTTGTACTTTGTAGGATTTAAATGGTCAAAACGAATCCACACTTCACTTGATTCTACGACTAAGCGGTGATGTGCTGATCAACGTAAAGACTTTTCGAAACAAAATCATAGTTCTCGACGTGAAACCGACTGAGTTTATTACCAGTGTGCATAATCATTACAGTCTCCAGGAATCCCAGAAATATGAGCCTAATGCTCTTTCTTCGTCATAGCAAGAAGTGCTACCTTGGCAGTTGTTTATTGGGGGGAAAAATTACCAGAACATGGGGATCTACTTGTGTATCCTATTTCGTCTAAAGTCTTCGATATGAGCGGTAGGTGGGATTAAATGGAGGTTAGCTCGAGGTCCATTAAAGTGGGCATTTAGCAACATAAAATTGCACTTCTTTAACTACAAATCCACCTTCCTCACAACTGAGTTTCAGTTCACACAATCTTATAATCAGCAATATTTAAACCATGAAAATGGTCTTTTCGTAGTCTAGGTATTCCTACCATTCCATGCGCAGAGTCGTTATCTTAGTTTCCTCTCTGCTAGGATGCAATCGTACTAGTTGGCAAATCACAGTTTGCCTAAGAAGCCAAACACGTCATTGGATTCACATATGTCAGTGACAAGACAGCTCCATTTCCTCATTATCTTTGTGCATAGGGATGATGGGCTTATCTTTTCACCAGAAGAACAGTGTTTGGCTTGTGAACTACAAGATTTCGACAGGAGACACCAACGTCTCCTCCTGTAGGTCTCCTATCAATATGCTTCAACCCCTCACAGTAAAGCACCCAATCTCTCACATTCTCGCATTCTTACATTCTCACACTCCCACAGTCTCAAAAGTAGTAGTGATGTACTGAGAGAAACGTAGATTTTAAGCTGAAATGTACTTTAATCTACTAAATCGGATGTACACGTGGACAATGAAGAAATCCGATAACAATTGAATTTCAATCCAAAACACCTATTCAGATGTGAACTTCTACATTTATTATGTTATTTTCTACTCCCAGGGGTGCGCGATAGACCTACCTCCACGTGGTGCACCCTGGACAGCGTATCTTCGTACGGCAAAAACGTCTATTACTCGGAATTTGATTTGATTTGACTTCGATTTATTATGATTATCTTGAAAAAATTCTATGGGAGAAATCGACCTCGTCAGGGTATATTACAACGTCTTCAGATCCTCCAGTGGAATGCTGGAGGAATGTCTCTGGACAAAATGATCCAAGTACAGAAAATCCTACAAACCTATGATGTAGACATTTTCACAATTATGGAAGCTAACATTTCGGATGACAAACTGAAGTATTACCAATTCCCAGGTTACACCCTGTACAATCTACCTAAATACCGGCAAGTTGCAAGTGGAATTCTAACTGGAGTAAAAGAAAGCCTCACCTCACACTACGACCTAATCAAGAGTATCGGCTCGACACAAGACATATGGGAAATAATCAGATTAAATGTTTGGAAATATCAAAACCACTTCAAGGTATATGCAGTCTATAATCCACCCCAGAATTGTCCCAACTTTGACTTTCTGAACACCTCACACAAAACTGTAGTATAAGGAGACTTCAACGCCCATTCCACCAGATGGGGCTACAAGGATACAAATATAGCTGGAAAGGAAATCGAAGACATGCTAAACAGCAACCCTCTGGAACTTATTTACAGCAATGAGGATCCGGCTACATATTTGCACTACAATGGAACCTGAACAACTCCTGACTTACTTCTGGATTCAAGCAACATCAGCGAGCATACACACCGCAAAATAATTGACGATCCTGGTTCTGGTCACAAACCAGTCATTGCTAGTATTACCATCGTCAGCAAAAGCATGACATGAGAAGTGCTAACTAAGCTATCATGGTATTTCAAGAAGGTTGACTGGTCTAGATTCACAAACCTTTTAGAGAATGAACTTCACACAAGTCCCCTCAACTTCATCCAACATACTGACAAACTTTGCAATGATATCACGAATATTATGATCAGATGTGCAAAGAAAACTATTCCCCGAGGCAAGACTAAACACTATCGAGTGTTTTGGTCTAAACACCTTGAGGAACTGAAAAGAAAGAGGGACGTCCTTCGAAACACTGCTAATCAGACTGGAAGAACGGAAGACGTAAAAGCCTGGAGACGACAATCAGCTGTCCTAAGGCAAGCCATCTTACAAGCTAAACGGACTCCCTTCCACAAGTTCATCTCAAATATTAATTATCAAAGTGATAGCCAACGCACTTTAAAATTCCTGGGTAACCCCCAGAACAACAGAGAAAGACCCAGGAAAGAACCAATACGTTTAAAAAACAAACTGCTTACCACCGACTCCGAAATAGCTAACTGCTTTGCGAGGTTCTATTCACACAAGCAAAAGAAAAACCCTTTTGTCAGAAAATCTTCAAGAGATTTGAAGATTCAAGTAAGACAGTTGGGTGAAATTAAGGAAGACATATCAACACCAAATAATGTACTTACTGAACCATTCAGACCCTGCAAACTTAATTCTGCGATAAAACAGCTCAAGTGCAAAAAGTCTCCTGGCGAAGACGGTATTCATCCAGAATTTCTAATTAGAATGGGATCAAAAGCCAAGGAATCCATGCTGACGATTTTGAACAAAATCTGGTAGACCAGTCTCGTGCCTAACCAATAGAAAATTGCCATAGTAACACCAGTACTAAAAAGCGCAAGGACCCTAACAACTTTGACAACTATAGGCCTATCTCCCTCACAAGCGTGCTGGCCAAAATTATAGAAAGAATGGTCAACAGGAGGATGACCTTACCTATAGACCTTTCTCCCTCACAAGCCTGCTGGCTTAATCTATGAAAAGACTGGTTTACAGGAGGCTGACCTGGTTTCTTGAGACCAACAATATTCTTAGGAGTGAACAAGCAGGATTAATATTCTTAGGAGTGAACAAGCAGGTTTTAGGCCACAAATGAGGATACGTGTGGGGTGCTGGGGAGGCCAAAAGTACAGTTGGAGACCAAGCAACCCACCATTCTTGCACTCTCACTAGTCACTTCTCCCAACACATCAAAGATGCCCTTGATGCACGAAATACACTTACGGGTGTAATGCCCATGATGCAAGAAATACTCTTACGGCTGTATTCACCTCCCTTGATGCACGAAATACACTTACGGGTGTATTCGTCAATTTCAAATCAGCATATGACTTAGTATGGAAAGAGAAGCTAATTCAAAAATTGACAGAGATTGGTATTAAGCATAGCATGCCAAACTGGATAAAAGCATTCATTGGACAAAGATCATGTAATTCAGTTATGGAAATGCTCTATCACAATTCAATCTTTTACAAACAGGCCTTCCACAGGGAGCTGTCACAAGCTCCACACTTTTCAATGTCCTCTTCAATGACATAGCCGAATTGGTACAGACAGTCACGGGCATCAAGTGCTTACTTTACGCAGATGATCTTGTTCAATGGTATTCCGCCCCTAAGAAAAACGCTCAGGAGAGAACGGATAGTGCACTAAAAGGTGCACTTAAACTACTAGCAAACTGGTGTGACAACAATGGAATGGTAATCAACACCGCGAAAAATGCTTTCCAAACATTTTCTTTGGCCCGTCACAGCATAAAACCACTTCAAAGGTACAAGGATACTAGCCTAGAAATAGCCAATGAGTTCACTTATCTCGGAATGACGTTTGACATTAAGCTAACGTGGAAAGTCACATTGCTAAAATAACGAATCTGCACTAGACTGAATGTACTGAAGCGTCTTGCTTGTAGCGTATATGTCTGTGCACACTCAACTCTAAACACCACTTACAAGATGTTTATTCCGTCAATAAAGCTGAATTGCTGTGAACCACTCATTACAGCCACAGAGGTGACTCACAAACCACTCGAGAAGGCAAACAACCAGGCATTACGACTTATTACTGGAGGGATATAATCGACACCCATTGATGCAATGCTCCTTGTTACAGGAAGCCCCACAATATGTTCGCTTATGAAAAAGAAGGCTATGATCCTGTATGAGAAGCTACTGCGCATTCCCATGGATAAATTATTAAGCACCCATAAGAATAGACCAAGACATCTGAAAACGCAATCTGGTCTTATACAGAATTCCATAGATCCGAAGAAAGCATTACAAATCAACGACAAACCAAAAAGCCTCACTCTACTCATGAACCCATTAGCGCTCACTGGCCATTTTGACAATCAATGTCAACTGTCCTGCAGATGGATAGATCAAAGTCTTCACTGATGAGTCATACATAGAAAACCAAGCAAA